AAGGTGTAGGGACCCATTTGCATGAGCAGCTCCAACTCTGGGAGGACAGTGGAGCTGGTATAAAAGAGGCTTGGGGCAGTGGAGTTATCAAAGTTAGGCCTATGAAAGTGCTGTGTCCACAATGGCATAGACTCATTTAATTCTTCTGCTCCTCTCTCAATGCACAGGTAGGTACAGGCCTCAGAGGTCTAGAACAGGCCCCTAACCTGAATTATTACCCTATTCCTTAAATACCAAAGTCGTTTTCTCCTACCTCTGCCCTTCAATGTGATGTGTCTGTGCTTGCAAATTCCCTCTCTTTGCCTATTCTGACATGGCCACTCCCTTTCTCTGCATCCCTGAGTTAAGATCCAGATTCATCTGCACTGAATGGGAGCCTACTATTGGTAGAAAATCATGTACTGATACTAGAAATACTTGTATCTGAGCACTACTACTCAGACTCAGAGAAACAGATGGGGCCTAAGTTCCCCAGTTGAATTTCTGGATACAAAGATGTCTCAACTAATAATTTGTATTTGTAAATCCCAGAACTCCAATTTGAGGACATGGCCAATTATTACAATCCTGTTTATAAAATTAATACTTACAACAGTGAAACAATCAGATGAGCAAGTGAGACAAGACCCTTGTTTGTAGAGGGTACAAGTATTTGTCACTTTAATGTAGCAGCTAAGGGCTTAATGTTTATAAAATGAGACAATAGAATCTAGTTTACATTAGTAGGACACCATAATTTTCTACAATTACACAATTCTCATAGAAACTGTACAAGTTACAAAAATTCATACTAATACTAAAAATAAAAAAAAATTATCAATTATCACCAGTAAAAGAGGTATGGCACAGAAGTTGAAGCCCATCAAGATGATAACCCATAATATCAGTATAATTCAGTATATAACAACATTTTATATTACTTATAAATTATGCATAATTATATAAAGTTAATAAAATTTTAGCAGCAATCAGTGTCTACCCATCAGAATACAGCAATTGTAATT